GGAATCAGAGCGAGAATAGTCGAGTTAACTCCTTTAGGTAGAAATCCTGTCTTGAAGAAAGACTGGATGGCTACGACAAAATCACTGCCCACTACTGACCAAGTTTCCTTGAAAAATTCACATGTAAACCCATCTGGACCCGGGGATTTATTTACCGGCATTGAGAAGAGAGTTTTCCTAACTTCTTCCTCTGTGACCTCCTTTGTTAGTATTATTTTATCAGCCTCATCACACTGAAAGTTTAGCAGTCCTTCCAACTCTTCCGGCGACCATTCCTCATAGTCCGCAGGCTTAATTGTTAGGAAATCCTTGAAGTGCCTCTCTGCCTCTGCTTTGATTTGGTCCTGGCCAGACACTATTGTTCCATCTTCACATTGTATCTCTTTGATGTTATTACGGTTCTCCCTGATCTTTACTGCATTGTAATAAGCTTTGTTGTTTTGGTCCCCTATTTTCATCCAATGCAACTTTGCTCTCTGATGTAAAAACCCCTCCTCTATATTCGACAGTCTCTGCCACTTCTCATACGCCTCTGCTTCCGCTTTAACAGCTTGTGAGGTTGGATTTGTCATTGTTGCAGCTTGGTAATCACAAAGTGTTTTAAAAGCTGCCTTTGTTTTGATCGAAATATCCCCATACACTCGTTTCCCCATTTTTCGTAGACGCGGTTTCAGATCCTTGAGCTTCTTTGTTAACATGTGCATCGCTAATGTTGAATGGTAGAGATGTGGTGATTTTATCCAATAATCCTCGATTTCTGCTTGGTAGCCGGAGCAAGTTGTCAAAGTGTTTGAGAACTTGAATGGTTTCTTAATCCTCTTTTCCTCCTCCTTAATATAGAATCTGCACCTTAAATGATCTGAACATCCACCTGGTTCAAAGACTGAATAAGATTGATCATATAGCTGTAACCATTGTTTATTCACTAGTACTCTGTCAAGCTTTTTACAAATTACACCTTCATGCCTTTTGTTACACCATGTAAACCGCGGACCATGGTAGCTCAAATCCGTTAGTTCACAATGCGAAACCAAATTCTGAAAATCTCGCATCCCCTGTGGGATAGACGGTGAAACTTCATAATGTGAATGCTCCTCACCTTCAAGGATTTCATTAAAATCTCCACAAATCAACCAGGGCTTGCCTTGAAACAAGGGAGAGTCATGGTGATTTCGCAGATCATTCCACATGGTTTTGCGTTCCATCATAAAATTTGACGCATAGATAAAAGAGACGAAAAACTCTTCTTGACGGCCTTCAAGATATATGGAACATGTAATAATTTGAGATGTCTTATAAATTGGAGTTACCCGTACGTTGCTACGCCAAACAAGCCATAATCTTCCTAAGTGATGGTCTTCATAGTTAGAGATGAAAGACCAGTTCTTAAAAACAGATTGCAGAATCTTCTCTGCCCTTCTTTCTTTAACTTTCGTTTCAATCAAACATCCAAAGTCAAAATTACCAGCTTTCATCCAGTCACGAACAACTTCATGCTTACTTTTCTTATTGAATCCACGAATGTTCCAAAAGAATCCCGACATTAAAGATGTTGTTGTGGTTTACGTGGTTTCGGAGCATTTGGATTAGAGGTCCTAGAGCTCTGCATTCCATTGGTAGAAAAGAATTTGTGGCCCTCTTTGGAAGCTCTAGGAAGAGATTCCCGAAGTTTTACTTCAGTGCCTTCATTCAAACCACTTTTCTTTATAACTGTATCTTTATCTTTTATCATCTCCCCGCCATTATTTTTTCCTTCTATTCCATCAACCTTTTCCACCACGATAGAGTCCTCCTCTCTCAGATTTATATATTCCCCCTGTTCACCTTTAATCTTTGATCCGAAAACTGTAAAATTTATAATTTGTTTGGTACAGAAGAAACAAAAACTTTTGCTTAACAATTGCTATGTTTAACACAGTGAACGAGACCAGACGCAAAGCTTCCACTTAGATTTTTTTTTCTTTTTGATAAACAAAGAAAAATACTCTCCTTTAAACACAATAAATATTTAGAAGGAAAAGGCTTTAGTATACCTTTCAAACTAAATAAAAAAATAATAATAATAAAACACACGAGGACCAAAGTTGCATATAAAACACAAAGTCCATCTATTCCCCAAGAACAAGAAAAACAGGGAAGAGAGAGGCTTTGATAAAAAAAACCAAAAAATGGCAAAGGCTTATCCAACACGTGTCCTCACGTTTCTGATGTTGATCTCGCTAATGGCGGTGACACTGAACCTTTTGTCCACCGCAGAGGCAAAGAAGCGGAGAAGAGATGTTCCTATAGTGAAAGGTCTCTCATGGAACTTTTACCAGAAAGCATGTCCGAAAGTCGAAAACATTATCAAAAAAGAGCTCAAAAAAGTCTTCAAGAGAGACATTGGTTTAGCCGCAGCCATCCTTCGTATACATTTCCATGATTGCTTCGTTCAGGTTCAATCTTTATTTACTTTTGTTTTGTTTCTTGTATTAAAACATACGAAAACTTAATTTGATTCTTTAAGCCTACTCTAAAAGGTTCTACGTATGTAATTACATATTCTTTCATTAGTAAAAAAAAAACACTGGTTTTTTAAATATAAGAAACCATATCCACTCATCACTCATTATACCCACACAAAAAAAGGGATTCGGGTTGTGGATCCGAACAAAGATGAAAATGAGATATAATTGATACAGGTTTGACTTTTATTTTTAAAATCCGACCAAAATAGCCTTAAAGAAAAGAAAAAACACAACATCGCCTCGAAATTCAAGGAATAAGGGTTGTCAGCTTCTTACTTTAATTTCGTTTCAAAACATTAATGGTTTCTTAGTGTAAACAGAAATTAAGTGACGAAGATATTATCGAATAGTATTGTTTAATACTATTACGTTAATATTTAACCCATGCAACAGTGTTTACCGCAAAAAAAATTACCCAAAAAAAAAACCACTAAAACATGCAATAGGATTGACTTAAATGTATAAGGATATGTCGCATTAATACTATTCACCGGCTTTCCGTATGTTAGTTGAATCTCAGTTATGGAACGTAACTATCATAAATAATTCAATATCCAGCCAATAATAGAAATAATAATTTTTTTTTAATAGAAATAATAAATATCAGGATACGATAGCATATGTGAATTATTTATTTGGATATCAACATTTAATAAATCCAATTTTCTGTAGAAAATATCTGATATTTCCTCTAGCCAAATACTAAACCTAATTTTTTTGCAGCACTACTAATGATAATCAGATATTCATATTTCATAGTCTTACTTGCATGCAACACCTTTTATATACTTAAGAACTAAATATTATCAATAATTATGAGATGTGGCATAATTTGATTAGCTATATAATTTCGGAGGAAACTTCTGAAAGTAGTTTTCATATATATTTTTCTGTTATGAGATTTTTTTTTATTAAAATTTGTCTGTTATGAGAAAATTAATAAACATTTTTATTTTATTTTTTGAGCAAAGAGAAATTAATAAACTAAGATAATGTTTTTAAAATAAACAGGGATGTGAAGCATCAGTGCTGCTAGCTGGATCAGCCAGTGGACCAGGAGAACAATCATCAATCCCGAACCTGACGCTACGTCAACAAGCCTTTGTCGTCATCAATAACCTTCGTGCCCTCGTCCAAAAGGAGTGTGGTCAAGTCGTCTCTTGCTCCGATATCCTCGCTCTCGCCGCCCGCGACTCCGTCGTCCTAGTAATCACATCTCTCTCTCTCTCTTTTATGACTACGCGGTGTCACACTAATACAAATCATTAGCTTACATTAATTGATAATTATTTTTTTGTGTGTCAATGTAGTCAGGAGGGCCAGACTATGCTGTGCCACTTGGCCGACGTGACTCACTGGCGTTCGCGAGCCAGGAAACGACGTTAAATAACTTACCACCACCGTTCGCCAACGCGAGCCAGCTCATCGCCGACTTCGCCAGCAGAAACCTCAACATCACCGACTTAGTAGCACTTTCCGGTGGTCACACCATCGGAATTGCACATTGTCCATCTTTCACAGACCGGCTCTACCCGAACCAAGACCCAACCATGAGCCAGTTCTTCGCCAACAGCCTCAAACGCACTTGTCCCACGGCGAACTCGAGCAACACGCAAGTGAATGACATAAGGAGTCCTGACGTGTTTGACAACAAGTACTATGTTGATCTCATGAACCGACAAGGGCTGTTTACTTCTGACCAGGATCTGTTCGTGGACAAGAGGACACGTGGTATTGTGGAGAGCTTTGCGATTAACCAGCAGCTGTTTTTTGATCATTTTACGGTGGCGATGATCAAGATGGGTCAGATGAGTGTCTTGACGGGGACACAAGGAGAGATTCGTTCCAACTGTTCAGCCAGAAACACCCAAAGTTTCATGTCCGTTTTGGAAGAAGGCATAGAGGAAGCTGTTGTTTCCATGATCTAGATATCCATATATATATATCTCGGCCTTTGTCTTCTTTAACTATGTTTTTGTTTAGTTCACGCACTTGTGGTTTGTGGATTAATGCTTAAAAGTATCTCATAAATAAGAGCGTTGCTTCATCTTAACTTTGTTTTTTATTTTATTTCACACACTTGTGGTTTGTCGAATGTGGAAGACTGACGATTATAGAGTGTTGCTCCATCTTATAATAGCAAAGTATCGGTCTGACTTCTGAGTGACTCTTAAGCTACAATCTCAAAAACCATTAGACCCGTCGTCCAATTTCATTTCATGAACCCTCCCGTTACCCGAATTTTCCGTTTCCGACCTTTATCCCGCTATTTCACCTCCATATAACCCGAAACTGACATCGATCCCTAGTACATATTGGAGAAGAAAAGGCAAAAAAAAAAATTGGAGAAGAAAAGGATTTATGTCATTAGGCATTTACTATAACAATAATTTCATATGCATGATGAAAGACACAATCTATGTGCCAAACCGCCAATCGAGTTATTAAAATTTAACGGGCTACGAGAGTCAATTTAAATTGGGCCCATAAACCCAAGTTTTGGTCTTCAGGGTCAACGATCTCTGACTCTCTAATGCCCGTCCCTGCTTTCTTCCCTCCCATTGTACTTTTCTCCTATCCCAGCAATGGTGGAAATCCGAAAACTCGGCATTGCTTTATCGAATCAATCGGCAAACAAGTGATAAGGAGAAGGAGAGATCTGCGTGATTCTAGATATGAGCAAGCTTAGATTTGTCAATAGTCTCCTAATTTCGACGGCGATCTGCTTTTTCCTTCCGTCGATCGCCGCTAGAGGTGGCCACTCCGACTATATCCACCCAGGTCCGCCGCCATTTTTATTTTAATCTTCAGTATCTAATTATTGCTCCTACCGCATAAATCTATCCGCAGATTTAATTACTTCCGTCATTAATTGCACTTGATTTGGTAATAAGTTTAACAATTGAGGTTTATTATGCATAACTGCTTCTGATAATTCAGTGATTTTGTGTATCAAATATTTAGGTGATGGGAATTCTAGTTTTCATGGTACTGCGAGGAACTTATTTGCTCAAGAAGAGACTCGACCGAGGTAATGTCGTTATTGGTGGTTCAAAATGTTACTGGAGTGTTATTACTCTTGTCTGTGTAATGATAACTGTCTTTTTCATTGTTCATAGTTTGGAATTAACTCGAGGTTATATGACTAATGATGATCTTGAGAAAGCAATGAAGGATTTCACCAAGAGATGTAGTAAGATTTCGAGATTATACAGGTAATTACTTGGCTAATACTTGTATGAATAATCGTTGGAAAAATCAATACTTGTATTTTTCCTAGAGTCAGTATTCATGGTTTCAATATTGGTTCTTATGGTGGTGTTGATTTTGTTCTTTATTTCTCTCTTTGAGGGTTTTCTGGAACGTGCTTTCAGCATCGGAAAGAGTGTCAATGGATTTCCTTTGGTAACGCACTCATATCTATCAGAAGTGAATCTTCTTCTTTTTTTTAATAATGTTGTTTCATGCTTTGCCTCTGCCTCTGTAGTGGGTCATAGAGATTTCAGACAGACCTGGAGAGATAGAGGCTGAACCTGCATTCAAGGTTAAAAACTGTGAAATTATCTTTGCTTATACATGCAGTCTTTGAGATATTAGTTTATCAGTTATGATTTCCGCTGGTGATAGCCTAGACGAATCTAAATAGTTGAATAATTGGTCACGCAGTACATTGGGAATGTACATGGAGATGAACCTGTAGGGCGTGAGCTCTTATTACGTCTTGCTAACTGGATTTGTGATAACTATAATAAGGATCCATTGGTAAGTGATTTTTGCTTTTTTAATTCCACCTTGCCATGGCCATGAAAGTTGTTCACTCATCTTCAATAAAATTGCCTAAGAAAAAGGTTATATGCATATACTGATATTTTTTCCATTATGGTATGCAGGCTCAGATGATTGTAGAAAATGTTCACCTTCACATAATGCCATCATTGAATCCAGATGGCTTTTCAATCAGGAAACGTAATAATGCAAACAATGTGGATCTAAATCGCGACTTCCCTGACCAGGTGATTGTCTGATGGTGCTTTTCAGTTTTCACACTCATAAGTTGTATTTTCATCGATTCTGTGATTTGCATGATGGTAGCTTGATTTGGTTGGTTTTATTCATAGTCACGTTTGGCTTACTTAATTCATACCTAATAATGCAGTTCTTCTCCTTTAATGAAGACTTGAGTTTGAGGCAACCTGAAACTATGGCAGTTATGACTTGGCTGAGAGATATACGATTCACAGCGTCAGCTACTCTGCACGGGGTAATTTTCTTGTAGCAGACTTGTGCATACTATCACGTCTTAAATATGTCCAATTTGAAAGTTTACTTTCGAGAATATCAGAGGGGTTTTAATTTAATATCAAGGAAAATCGTGATTCAATGTGAATGATATATTTGCTAAACCGGCTTTTGTTTCAGGGTGCGCTGGTCGCAAATTTTCCATGGGATGGTACAGAGGATAAGAGGTGTTTACTTCTATTTAAAATGGTTTTGTACATAATGCCAAGCTCTTTGCTTGGTTCTTTATGAAATGCAAATATCATGTAGCTGTTCTGCACTCTTCTTGCAGGAAATACTATTATGCATGTCCTGATGATGAGACATTCCGGTTCTTGGCACGTATATATAGCAAATCTCACCGTAATATGTCTTTGAGCAAAGAATTTGAGGAAGGAATCACGAATGGAGCATCCTGGTATCACATCCAATCCACTTTCTCTGTCTTATCCAACAAATGAGTTTCTTGGTTAATGTTTTAAGCAAAACGCTCTACAGGTACCCAATTTATGGTGGCATGCAAGACTGGAATTACATACATGGAGGATGCTTTGAATTGACTCTGGAAATAAGCGACAACAAGTGGCCTAGAGCCTCAGAGGTCAAATATTTTATTGCTGTGTGATAAGTGTTTCTACTTTGCAAGGTTGTTAGCTGATAAAGTTCGCATATCTTATACAGCTTCCCACTATTTGGGATTACAATAGAAAGAGCATGCTGAATCTTGTTGCAAGCCTAGTGAAGGTATTATTTAATCTTGTTGTATCATTTTAGATTGAACCGCTAGAGATTAGTTACATTAATGGAAGTTTGCACCTTTGCTTCCATCCTTATATATAATTTTTTTTGTCTTTTGTCCTCATCTCTTTTACCTTAGACAGGAGTTCATGGCAGGATCTTTTCATTAGACCAGGGAAAGCCACTGCCTGGGCTTGTTGTCGTCAAGGGAATTAACTATACGGTATATACATAGTGCCTTCTAAAATTTCCTTATTGCAAAGTTCTTGTTAGTTCTTAATTACTCATTGTAATCCTTATCCTCTCCAGGTTAAAGCTCATCAAAGGTACGCAGACTATCATCGGTTGCTTGCACCTGGTCAGAAATATGAAGGTCTGATGTTCTTTCCTCACATTCAGCTCAAAATACGTGTGATTATGTTCATATCAGTATGATATTAGAGTTGTCCACTGTTATATGCTGATGATTATCATTATTACGAGCTCATATTAGTGGTTCATCCTTAAGACTGTGCGGCTTTCAAATGCACTATGATACCTCCTTCTTAACAGGGGATAGACCATTGCCCCACTGTTATAAGCTGACACTAACAATACGATCTATTCTTTATTTCTCCTTGTTATTGTTGATTACTTGCGTCATTTTGAGTTTCCTTTACTGATTTGCAGTCACAGCGTCATCCCCAGGATACAAATCGAAAACCACAACTGTTTGGTTAGGTGAAAACGCTGTTACCGCTGATTTCATTCTCATCCCAGAAACAAGTTCCCGAGGCAATCTGCTGAGAAGCAGCTGCGACTGTAGCTGTAAAAGCTGCGGTCAGCCACTTCTAACGCAGTTTTTCACAGAGACAAATAATGGAATCACAATCACCCTTTTCGTGGTTGTAGTGTTCTTGTGTTTTTTGTTGCAAAGAAGGGTGAGGTTTAACCTATGGAAGCAAAGACAATCCTCTAGAAGATCAATAACAGTATGATTTATAGGTATAATAACACGTCTTTATAGTATACTCTAATAAAGCAAAACCAAAATACGAACACTTGAGCCCATTTTTCGAGTAGTTGTTACACTATTTTGTACCATTGAACATTTTCGTTGAATCATTGTACTTTATGTGTTTGGTGGATCTTATCATCTTAAAAGTCTTGTACTACGTCAAGATTGCAACATTGTCGCCGAACTTATGTCACAAGGGAACATTAAATAATGTACACCGGAAGAAAAGGTCATGTTGATCAAGTCTTTGAAGAAATTTGTTAGGTAAGTAAAAAATACGTCACATATGAAAATGTCCAATTAGGAGGGAAAAAAAACATTTTAAAGTAGATATCTATTTATGCTGTTATCTATAGCTTTCATTTAGATTTCTTAAGACATTTATAGACATGAAATATATATTTTTATCTCATCTGTGAGTGTACTTTATTTAGAAAGCAGTATTCTGTTTTATTATAGAAAATCCTTTCTTTTAAAAGTTTAATCATTTCTATAATAGTGATTAACACATCGAATCTATGGTAGTAATAGGACCACTATATATAGAAAAACAGTGTTATTTTTGTCTATATTACTCTTTCACTACATAATTTTCTACATCTGAGTTTCTGAGTCTAATAATTTCGGGATATTCACTGCAAGACAAGGGTTAAAAAAACCTGTCCACAACAACTGTAAAAAAAAAAAAAACTCACTGCTGTCTCGCAGTCCAAAAAGAAAGAAGACTATTTGGATTCGTTGACTTTGACTTTAACAATGACCGTATCGTTACGCCGTTGACTTACCCGCGCCTTAAATATCCACGTGTATTTTTCTCATTGGTCCCGACAAAACCGTCGGTCACGATAACCGTTTTTAAAAACACCGTCTTACGAAAAACCCAATCGCTTCACGAGACAAACGACGAACAACGACATTGCGCGTTCTTATCTTTCTGGGTTTTTGTTTATTTATATTACTCTATATAAATAAAAATACCCAGAAACGTAATTTCGTCGAGTTCAAAAATTCATTTCACAGAATAATTTCTTTCCATAAAAAGATTCCAAGATTTTTTGTGGATAATCAATCTTCTCTCTTAAAAGAATCTCATACCCGTCGAATCTTCTTCTTCCACCTTTTTCTGGGTTATTAATATTTTCCCTGCAAAAAGATTCTCAAACTTTTTCCCGATCTTGTCAACCAAAAAAATGGCGATCAAGACAAAGACTAGTCTGATTCCAAGTTGTTCATCACCGGAGGATCTAAAACGCGTTTTGCAAACGCTAGGTTCAAGCTGGGGAGATGTAGTTGAAGATCTGGAACGTCTTGAGGTTGTTCCGTTAAAAGGAGCTATGACTAACGAGGTTTATCAGATTAATTGGCCTACTTTAAACGGCGAAGATGTTCACCGGAAAGTTCTTGTTCGGATCTACGGTGATGGCGTTGACCTTTTCTTTAACAGAGATGATGAAATCAAAACCTTTGAGTGTATGTCTCATCATGGTTATGGTCCTAAGCTTCTTGGTCGCTTCTCTGATGGTCGTCTTGAAGAATTTATCCACGCAAGAGTACGTTTTCTTCTTTTTACCATTTTTTTTTCTTTAAAGTTTTGATTTTTTTTTGTTTTGGGTTCTAAGGAATAACAGAGGAAGATAGGTTTAGTTAGTGGTATAAATTGTTTGCGTTTCAAGGAATCTCGTGATCGGAAAAATATATAGAGAGAGAGATTGATTGTGTATATGATTGGTTTGGTCCGTTTACCAGACTCTTTCTGCAGATGATCTTCGTATCGTAGAAACATCTGATTTCATCGCTGCGAAACTAAGAGAGTTTCATAAGCTTGATATGCCTGGTCCAAAGAACGTTCTTCTCTGGGAAAGACTCAGGTAAAAGAACTCAAATTTCATTTCTTTATATATAGAGGATCAAAGTTTCTTGCTAAATTGTTTGTTGATTTCTTTAGGACTTGGCTTAAGGAGGCTAAGAACTTGGCTTCACCAATAGAGATGGATGAGTATCGGTTGGATGTTATGGAAGATGAAATCAATTTGTTGGAAGAGAGACTTACTAGGGGTGATCAAGAGATTGGTTTCTGTCACAACGATCTCCAGTACGGAAATGTCATGATTGATGAAGAAACCAATGCCATTACAATCATAGTAAGCTTTTTTGAACCGAAGCTTTTCTCTTTTCATCAAGAAAGTGCTCTGTTTTGAATCAATTTCTGATTGCAGGACTATGAGTATTCGAGTTTCAACCCAATTGCTTATGACATTGCAAACCACTTCTGTGAAATGGCTGCTAATTACCATTCAGACTCTCCTCATATTCTGGATTACACTCTATATCCAGGTCCATATCTCTAAATGAAAATATATATCTCTTATGTTACTCAAGGGTAGTTTAGAGTCTGATTGTGTGTGTGTGTGGAATGATAAACAAACAGGAGAAGAAGAAAGGAGAAGGTTCATCAGCACATATCTTGGCTCTACAGGTATATGACCTTTGAAGCATTAGGTACTTCTTCACTCCTCAAGAAAACGTCTTCTCTTAATCATGTTTTTGTGAATCTCAGGGAAAGCAACAAGTGAGGAAGAAATAGAGAGGTTATTGAATGATGCAGAGAGCTACACTTTAGCAAACCATATCTTTTGGGGCTTATGGGGAATCATCTCGGTTCGCTCTCTCTCTCTCCCTCTCTCCCTCTCTCTTTCTTTCCCTTCTTTGTCTAAAAAACTCCTTAAGATACTCTTTAGCTCTAATGTTGAAAACTGGCAGTAATCTCTAGTGCCTTTTGCTGCAAAGCAGGGACATGTGAACAAGATTGAGTTCGATTACATGGAATATGCAAGGCAGAGATTTGAACAGTACTGGCTTAGAAAGCCTTTGCTGCTGGATTTACCTTGAAGGATGAAGCAGATTTGCATTGAAAAGCCGATATAGAACTAAAAGTTTCTGCAATTAGATCGAAAGAAAAAGAGAAGTTAGGTGACTATATATATGTTGCTATTGTTGTTACTCTCATCAGTTTATGTGTGTTTCTTCCCTTGTATATAGAGGTTTGTTAACTTTCGAAACAGTTAAATTGAGTAAAACTTGTTTTAAAGAAAATTATTATACCATCATACATGAAGCACCAGTGGTCTAGTGGCATGATAGTACCCTGCCACGGTACAGACCCGGGTTCAATTCCCGGCTGGTGCATTTATTTATTTTTTAAATTATTTTTTCTACCTTCACAGGAAAAACAAATAATGGAAAAAGGCCTTTTTCCTCTTCGTTTTGTTTTGTTTTTTTTAATAACTAACTACTAATAACAATAATCATGGATGTAAAATGTTCTTGATTTCATTATATATCAACTAAATTTACAACAGTAAACCAACACACAAAAGAAGAAGAATAAAAACTATAAGAATGTGAACTCTCAGTGTGATGCATCAGTATAACGACATGAGATTCAAAAACCTATCCGTAAAAAGAGAATGTCTCTTTCGCCAATACTTCATATGCAAAGATCAAACAAACAAGCACCAAATCTCAATTCCTCTTCTTTTAAACGAGAACAGCTACAAGTCCCTCGTCTTCAATCTCTGCATCCGTGAATGTCAACGCTCGCTGAAGCTTCCTAGCAGAAAACACTTCGACTTCAGCCATGTATATCGCTGTTACCGGACGATGATCTGAGAATTTCTGTTCGGTTCGCCTGTAATGAACCAACCTCATTCCTTTCCCGTAGGATAGTACTCTGTCACACCAAGCTGGTGTTCTCTTCGGCGCCTTTCCATCGTTTGCGGTGAACTCATCGGAATTCGCTTGGTACTTATAAGTTGGTGGAAAATGTAGAGTTCCTTCTGACCATCCGTCAAATGCTCGACCTTTTCTGTATTCCTTTACCAGCTGCAATATATAATCATAACAAAATGTGTCACGACATAAGTTGAGGATTTTTGCTTCCATGTTTTTTATTCCTTTTTGCCATGGACCAAAATATATGATAGTTTCTTGTAACTCCTAATTAACTAATGAAATATTTACATTTTTGGCAATAAAAATATAAGTTGAGAAAACTTTATAGCTATGATCAGGATTTATTGCGCTGCGGAGCTTAATCTTTCGGTTACGACAGGTCCGATTTGAGACTCTGTGTGTGTGTGTGTGTTTATTTTTTTTGCTTTAGACGTTTTCTAAAGATTATATTCAAAATCCTAACAGTTACCAAAGTGATCCAAATTATATTTGCTTTAGACGTTACCTGGTCATATTCAAGTAACTTGGACCATTCTCTCTTGGAAATGAGGTCTCTGGTTTTCTCATACGATGAATTAAGCCGATAGTTGAGATCTCCTAACCAGATTATTCTTCTGAAAAGTGGTGAAAACACACAATTAATGTTAAGACAAATCGAAATCGAAACGGTTTTTCGAGTTTAAAATTTAGAGGAAGAGAGAAAAAAGACAGACTCGTGATCATAGATAAGCTTGGGAAGTCCAAGAGATGAGACAGAGTGAAAGACTGTTCTTTTATGTATCTCGTGTACATCAGCATTCCTCTTGATCTGATCAACCTCTCTTTCTCCTGCCGTCAAATGTGTGTTTATGAAACAAAAGAACGTCTGGTTTATCGACATGCTCACAGACACAGCTCCCTGCAGACCACAAATCACTTCACAATCCTGAACATGCTGTAACATAAATTTGATGGAAACATGTAATCTTTATATACCTTGTTACCAATATATCCCATGACGCCAACTCCAACAGTAGAGACTCGTACGTTTTGAATATGTTTTCGCAGGCTTCGTTTAACCCAAATGGTCAAAAGAATCCCAACCATTTGTTTACTCACTAGCCTCACATAAGCTGGTCTCCGTTTCCTCTCCATTAGCAACTTCAGGTCCATTTCCGCTAGAGCCAATACCTCCGGCGGAATCCCGTTGTTGCTTCCGGCTACAGACTTAAACGAACTAAAAGCCTTGAAAGACTTTGCTGTTTTTAAAGACTTTACTGTCTTTATCGACGGCTGTCTATCAAGAACACAAGGTCCTAACATGTTCAATGGTGGCTCAGGCCAGCTCAAACCGATCCGTTCTTTCCCGCTTAACATCCGGTTTATCGTTTTCATACCGGTTTGACTAGAATCCTCTTCGATATTCCCCTCAAAACTATCAGCACGTAAACAAAGTTGTCTGTCTAGCTTCTTAGGAATCGAAAACTGTCTCTTGATCTCAACAACCGGCAAACCGGTATTCGGGTTAACAAGAGTGTGAACTTCACCGATAACTCCTCCGTCATGTTTAAGCGCCCAAAGCCTATCGGTTTCTTCTTCTTCTTCCTCGTCAATCGGATGAACCTCAACACCAGCATCACTATCACTCTCGAAAGCTACTTCTTCCTCTATAACATCATGTGTTTCTTCAAAAGGTTTAAATCTACCAGGAGATGGTGGATCACTATAACTCTTAACCCCAGAGAGTTTTGGTCTAACTCTGTTCAATGCTTCTCTAATAACTTCTTCCCATTTCGCAACCGGACGATTATCTTCCGCTCCAAGAATGTTTCCAGCATTTAACGGAACAATCTCTTGTAAACTTCATACCCAAACCCAAAAGAAAAAAACATGAATAAAAAAAAATCTCTAACAAGAACATATTTGAACAGAGTTAGTTTTGTCCATGTCGCTGACAGAAAAAGTCAAAATTAAGAAGTTTACCCAAGAACGTAGATATCAGCTGGTTGATTAATTTCAATCCAGTCATCAATGTCAAGATCAGATGGTGGTGAGATTCCTCCAACGTTCCACGTACCAACACAAACTCTGCATTTACATAGTTTCCGACATGTTAGGGTCTCCTTTTACCCAACAAAAAATAAAATAAAATTACATGTTGAAAAAGAACATCCGAATCTACTATATAGATAGTACAATAAAAATAAAATACAATATCTAGAAAGAAAAAATAAAAGTGTACCTTATTTCTTTGTTGTTAATGTACTGTGCTCTTAATGTCTCTGAATTCCTTCTTCGTAACTTCATTGGAGCTTCTGATCCAACCAAACAATAGAAAAATTAAATTCACAAATTCGTATTTTTATTTTTCCAGATTTGTTAAAAAAAAGATTTGAAATTCAACAAAGGGATCTTAAAAATAGATATAAAACCCAAAAGCACCCCACAGTGAATCTCATAACTACCTATGCAATTTCGGCATTACCATTGCTAATAAACTCCGCCGCAGCTGCTTCTGCGTCTACGACGGCTGAAGCAGCTGCGATTGCGTCCTCCGCGTTCTCACAAACTTTTGATTCTCTTCCTCTTGAGCTAGAAGATTCTCTTCTTCTTGAGCTAGAAGATTCTCTACCACCTGTTTGTTATAAACCGGTTAGATAACCGGAACAAAATAAAGAACCGGTGTTTTGAGAGAGAGAAAGAGACCTTCTTCATCGGAACTAGAGTCATCGTTGTCTTCACGAACATCTTCGTTTTCGGATTCATCTTCAGTATCAGCACCATACTCAGGATCTCTACCACTTATGTTCAACCACTTTCTCATCACTAGCTTTGCCCATAATCTCTGTTATAATCCACACACTTTTAATCAGAAACCTAATCCAATTCAGTTTTTTTTTTTTTTTCAAGCAACAAAATCTATAAGGGTTATTACCTGAGATTTCTGACGATGGGTTTTCTTCATTATCCCGGCGGGTTCAACTGGAGACATGAAAATAATCGTTATTTTTTTCACAAAAGAGAGAATTTATTCTAATTTAAATAAAGAGGAAAGTGACGCAGCTTTTTATAAATCTGGATATTTATTTTTTTTGCCAGACCATAAATCCAAAAATTTACATGAGAGAGTTCGGAAACAACGCGTGAGTCAGTCTTCGTCTATCTTTTCATCATTTTATGTAAGAAAAACTTTTTTTAAAAAAGAATTGTTTTTTCTTTTAATAATGGCGTAGCAAAGCAATATTGATTTTTTCCCTCACGTTGTGGTCAATTTTTTATTAAAATAATATAGAGTTTCAAACCAATGTTTAGGCTTGTTTTTGGAAGGTTAAGGATATTTTTTTAAAATATCTACAATGATTAATTATGATTAAAAAATAACTATCGGAATATCCGAATCATGATGGTCTATAAGATAAAGTAAACGTAACAAAACTGATTTATGCTGGTCATGTGATCGACAATAATATATTTTTATCTGATTAGTTTCTAATAAATTAAACCCACTTTCTCTCTCATATTAATTATGGACGGAAATTAAAAAAAAAAATCTAGAAAATTGTTAACCACTGAGAATTGAAAAAATAAGATTTGATATCCAACTAAAATTTTATCTAAATCAATCCTAATAAACTATTCTATATCAAAAATAAAAAGAAAAATAATACCATTTTAATTCAAAATAAAAAACACTATCGTTTAAAAAGTTTTTCAATGGAGGATTTTAAAATTGAATTTAAAATTTCGTAAAAAAATTAAATACAAATATTTATGACTCAGTTTTGTTATAATATTTTCACAAGTTTTGAAATATAAAACAAAATTTTATTTGACAATTTCTAAAAAAATGATATTAGATATTAACAAATATTTATATTTACTATGAAATAAACTCAAATAATGATAAGTAATTATCGTTATGGCCTTCGTTTAGAGAAAGTTTCGGAAATATCTAAACAAAAGGTTGTACATATTAATTTCGAAATATTTTGTATTTTTTTTCTTCTCAACCGGATCTTCCTTAAAACAAATCTATAATACATTGCACACAGTTTTTGAAATAATGTGAACTAATTATATATTTTGCATTCAAAACAAATTATGCAGCAATAGCATATCCCTTTTATAGATGTATCTCAAATTTTAATTTTAGTCCCAAAATCGAATTAATTATGATTAAACAATGAAAAGAAAAATATGCAAAATTTAGCTAGAAACATTAATAAATTTGTTTAAATATATTTATAACTTTAAAAGTATACATATTAATCTCCAAAACTCACAATATATATTGTAATATTGTATGGTATTTAAAAGTAAGAAAACAAGAATTTGGAATATGATTTTAATGGAATAAAATAGAAATAGAAATTACGAGACGAGATGGAAGGGGAACATATATTA